GAGGGAGGTTCTTTCCTTTCTTGGACCCTTCGGCCTCCCCGGACGGGGCGGCCTTCCTTTTCTTCCCCCCCCCCCCCCCGGTTGGGGGGAGGGATTTCCTCTTCCTCCTCCTTGTTTTCATTGGAGGAGCACGCATCGGTGTCTTTGGACGATGAGTCTGATACAACCTTGCGCCGAAGACCTTTCCTGGTCCCCGCGGCCTTCTTCTTGGCCTTCTTCTCCGGCACCTCATAGGGCGCCGGAAATAGCATCTTCGTTAAGAGAGGCGAGGCTGGATCTTCGGGTAGTGGAGCTGGACGATCAATCCACTCCGCTATCGCTACCCAGTCCTGTTAAATTGGCATGGAGGCTTAGATTCCTCCCGCGAACATGCTGGGGAAAGGCATATCTTGCGAAATATAAAAACTTATCGGATTGGCGGGGCGTTGTGCGCTGAGTCCGTGATCTTCGTCTATGGGCGGTGGTACCTCGGTGGCCTTGAACAGCACCTTCCAAACGTCTTCGTGCATCGTGTCGAAGAGCTCTCGCAGCGTCTGGTGTTCGGCCGGGTCAAACTCCCACATATTATAAGCCCGTCTCTAACACGGAAGGATCCGGCGGAAGAGCATGACGTGGACCACATTGACAAGCTTGATTTTCTTGCTTACCATATTTTTGACGCAGGTCTGAAGTCCGGTCAGCTCCACCGATGAACCCCAGGCTAAGCCCTTCTCTTTCCAGGAGGTGAGCCGCATGGGGATGCCGGATTGAAATTCGGGGGTCGCCGCCCAGTTGGTGTAGAACCACCCCGATTGCCACCCCTTCACGGTCTCCACAAAGGAGCCTTCAGGCCAGGTGACATTGGGCATCTTGCCTACCATGGCGCCCCCGCACTCCGCCTGCTGGCCGACCACCACCTTCGGCTTCACGTTGAAGGTCTTCAGCCATAGGCCGAAGTGAGGCATAATGCGGAGGAAGGCCTCGCACACGACGATAAACGCTGAGATGTTGAGGATGAAATTGGGGGCTAGATCATGGAAGTCCAGCCCGTAGTAGAACATCAGCCCATGGACAAACGGGTGGAGGGGGAAACCCAGTCCGCAGACAAAGTGAGTGAGGAACACTACCCTCTCTTGGAGTTTCGGGGTGGGGACGATCTGCCCCTCGTCCGGAAGCTTGTGCGCAATGTTTGCGGACAAGTATCTGGCCTCCCGAAGGTTCATAATGTCCTCCTCCATGAGGGACGAGGCCATCCACTTGCCTCCCGCTCCGGACATGCTTGGAATGACTTTGCAGAGAAGGTGAAGGCTTGGGCGCTGGAGCTCGAGCGAGAGAGAATGGATGGGCAGAGGAAGAAGAAGGCATGGGTGAAAAAGGGGTGTCCTTATCTCTTTATAAAGGCAGCAGAGATCCTGCGCCTCCCCACTTGACCAATAAACTCGCTTATTTCCCAAGCATTGCGTTGATGGCGCGGTTGGGTTACCCATACCCGTATTGATGAGAATCCCGTGATAAGGGTACACGATCTCTGCTTTGACAAGATGTGCCAATAAAACCGCCTCGCAATATATGCAGTAGCAGGTTGAGAAAAACTGTTCGCATAATGACCAGGCCGCGGCGTGATGTCACGCTATGGAAAATTGTCAGCAGATTAGATTTGTGGAATGTTGTGCTCTCTATGGTGGTATGTGGAATTTGTTTTACAGAGCCGGACACGATTCGTGCATTCAAAATCTACCTTGGAGTATTCGGAGAAGGAACCCGCCTTGCAATGCCAAAGACAATCTGCGCGCCGGACTCATCGTCATTGAAGCCTGGTTCAGAGGCTACTGAGGGAGTCCTGAATTAGGGGGTCCTCAGACAGCCGGACTATGTACTTGTGCCAGACTGTTGGACTATGAAGATACAAGATTGAAGACTTCATCCCGTGTCCGGGTGGGACTCTCCTTTGCGTGGAAGGCAAGCTTGGCAATTCGGATATGTAGATTTCCTTCTCTGTAACCGACTCTGTGTAACCCTATCCCCCTCCAGTGTCTATATAAACCGGAGGGTTTAGTCCGTAGGACAAGAACAATCATAATCATAGGCTAGCTTCTAGGGTTTAGCCTCTACGATCTCGTGGTAGATCAACTCTTGTAATACTCATATCATCAAGATCAATCAAGCAGGAAGTAGGGTATTACCTCCATCGAGAGGGCCCAAACCTAGGTAAACATTGTGTTCCCCGCCTCCTGTTACCATTAGCCTTAGACGCACAGTTCGGGACCCCCTACCCGAGATCCGCCGGTTTTGACACCGACACTTACCCCTTCATGTCTTGGACCTATATATACTCCTCCTCCTCCATTTACACTTAGATAAGAATAGATCTAGACATTAGAGCTTAGCTCATGTACCTCCCCTTGTGGTATTCCTCCTCTTGAGAGAGAGAGACACTCCATTGGAGTTCAAGGCCTCCTTTGGAGAAGATCCCTAGGGATTCAAGACCTCCTTGTGGGAATGATCTATCTAGATCACCAAGACCTCATCTCCTTCGGATTTGATGAACTTTACCATGTATCTTGTTTCCTTTGATTGTTCTTGTACCTTGTGAATCTCATGTGTTTGTGAGTCTAGTGGATGTGTGATTGGACTTGTTCTTGAGTGTTCCTCTTGTGATTTCCTTTTGTGTTATTCGTGTTCTTCAGGGAATCCCCCTCCAATTCGTGAAAGATCTCCACTTAGGGTTCCACCCTACAACAGTTTGTCAGCACCATCTCTAACCCAGTTGGCCAGAAAAATGGTCACTTTGCCCAAAGACAAGAAGCGGCTAGAAAGGATGTTGAGAGGGCATTTGGAGTTCCGAAGGCTCATTAGCAGTTGTTCGTGGACCTGCTAAACAATGGGATCCGGAGACCTTGTGGGAGGCGATGACATGTTGTGTGATCATGCACAACATAGTCGTCGAGGATAAGGGCGAGGATGCTGCCGCAGCTCTAGAATTTGAGAACATGGGTGATCCTATCGAACTTTCTGACTAGAATCCGACCACGTTTCAAATGCATCGACAAATTCGGCATCGACCAACTCACGAGCAGCCGTAGGAAGATCTAATCTAGCATTAGTGAGCGGTTAAAGGGGACAACAATGTTGGGATGTAATACTTGAACTTTTTAAAATTTGAACTAGTGTTGCATGCATCTATTTGAACGTATGTACTCTACGTATGCGTCTATTTGATCGTGCGGACTTAAAAAAAAATAAGGCCGGATGTATGCGGGTAGCGTTGGATGACAGTCTCCTACATCCGTGTCCGCGGACTGGTCCGCCCCTGTCCACGGACGAATGTGGGCCACCGTCGGTGATGCCCTAAACCATATCTACGTCTGAACATCTACAGCCGTGATGGGCAAATCCGGCCCCTCAAACGCCCGCAGACGCGCCCAGGTGCTTTCGTGGACACTGCCCTGTCAAGCCTCAAATAATGCAATCCACATCCGAATACCTCAAATTAGAAACCTCATTCCATATTATTACTTGCAACACAGTGATCTCTAAGCGGAGCTCGTCCAGTTGCCATGGCCATGTCCGGCGGCCGGCCAGCTGCACTCCCCGGAGTGTTGATGCGATCGCTGGCAAGGTAGAGTAGGGCATGGGACACGAGCCAGCTCACGGGACTCAGGACACCGTCGTCTCCCATGCCCTACTCTTCCTCGTCGGAGCTCGGAACCCGTTGGGTGTTGGTGGACGTCATATCGATGATGGATCCGTCTTGGGACGAGCCGGCGACATCCACCACGACGCGGTTACGGCGCTTGGAGTGGTGCACCATACGGGCGCCGGGGAATGTGACTTTGCCTCGCCAACATCCACCGCTGCGAGCGCTGCCGCCGCCTCCCGCGCCTGCTGCCGCGCACGGCGGGCACGCCGCACCATTTTGCATCGGACAACACGCATGGTGCATCCATGGCCTCGGCGTGCCAACGGAGGGGTTGCGCGCCCGCCGTTGCGTTTGGACGCCAGACGGACCGCACAGCCTTCGGTCATGCAATGACGGCTGCCCTAGCGCCAGATCCATGCGCCATTTAGGCAGACGCAATGGATTCCTGACGGAAGAAGCCTGAGCACTGCCGTGCACGGGCCTCCTCCCGGGAGTGGCGGAGCGCAAGCCAGACGACCATCTCCTCCTCGAGGCCGCGTGGGATGAGCTCGGGGTCGACGGGTCTGAAGGTGAAGGACTCAGATCCGCTATCCGCCATGCCGAAGACGTCTGGACGCCACCACAGATGAGCTTGGATGGTGGAGAAGAATGAAGTGAAGTGGTTAGGGTTGGTTCGGCAAGCGAATGGGGAGAAATATATGTGGGGTCGGGTGGGCCAGCTTGGACCGGGTTCGATGTGGCGGGCGTGCCCGGGCGCTCCATATCCGCCTCATATTTAAACTAGATACGAGGGATGTCGGTCAGTCCAGACGTTTAAGATCCGTTTGAGGCGTCCAGTTGGGTCGAAATTTTATGACCGGTCAGTGACCGGGCGGCTAGCCAGGACTGATTAAGGAGGGTTTGGGGTGGCAGGATGTAGATGCTCTGAGTCTACTTATCTACGACAAGTGTGATCCATTGAGGGTTGAGGCAATGATTTGCAATGCCGTAGATCCATTGAGGCAATGGTTTGCCAACGGGCGACTAAGTCCAAGTTGCCGATAAGTGATGAGTTAGCAACCACAGCTTTGGCATAATGACAGGCAAAGCCGGCGAAATACAATGCACCGGGCAATGCAGGACGATCGCATCCCACAGGAGCCTCAACTGACGTGCCCCGACGTCGAATCAGATCACGTAAGGTAGCTCCCGGGCCCACCGGCGCGCGCTCTGCAATGCCGGGCCCACCCGTCAGAGCGCCCGTCAAGCACGTTTATTATGGTAAGGTTCATGAGGAGTACACGCCGCTGCCCTTCCATTCCATTCCATTCCAGACCCGTCGAGAGACCGCGCGGACTGTGTAGCGTGTCGCGGGAGAGAAGCCCAAAGCTTTGGCGGAGCCATGGCGGAGGAAACCGGAGCGACGGCGGCTTCAGGGTCGGCAGCGGGCAAGATGACGATGGTGGTCGGGGTGGACGAGAGCGAGCACAGCTACTACGCGCTGCAGTGGACGCTCCTCCACTTCTTCTCCCCGGGCCAGCAGCAGCAGTACCGCCTCGTCGTCGTCACAGCCAAGCCCACCGCCGCGTCCGCCGTCGGCCTCGCCGGACCAGGTGCGCGCCCTCTTCCCTCCATCGCGTTTCCGAAATTGGGGACTGCGTTCGATCGGGCTCGTACGGAGATTTATCGGTCGATTTTAACTACTACTAGGTGCCGCAGAGGTGCTGCCGTTCGTTGAGGCGGACCTGAAGCGGAGCTCGCTGCGCGTCATCGACAAGGCCAAGGAGCTCTGCGCGCAGGTGGATTTCTGTACTACTCTTCTGGTCGTAGTAGTACAATATAATACTACTAGACTTGAATATTGCTAAAATCGGTGTCACATCAAGACGCTGGACGCGTATGATCCCGTCAAGAAAAGAAGGACGCGTATGATCTTGAACATTGCTTTAATTTAAACCACGTCTATATTATGCCTAAAGATTTTTGTCTAACAATTATTATACCTACCAGCAAAAAATAAATTTATTATACCTAATATACAGGAGTTTGTAAGACGAATCACACTTACCCTACATCGAGGAAGCTCCGAAGCTAGCTTAATTGTCTAATTTCCCCGCGGATGAAAGAAAAGTCTAGTTGAAACAAATTTAAGCTGGGCTCGACTTGAGAATTGCTTGTCAGTTTCAGCGAGGGCGGTGAACCGTTTTTGCTCATTATAAGATTGTTGATGATTTTGCTGTAGGTGAGCGATGCTGTCTTTGAAGTGGTGGAAGGGGATGCGAGGAACGTCCTCTGCGAGGCGGTCGAAAGGCATCACGCAGAGATGTTGGTTGTGGGCAACCATGGCTATGGAGCAATCAAAAGGTATTGCAACATTACTACTTGTGCTCTGTTCTCCCCTGTTTGCAGCTTAGATCGATGGCACCTTGGCAGTGTTACGAACAATTGCCACTCTCTCTAAGCCTAAAACCCAAGGAAAATAAATCCATGGACTAGTGTCGTCTTCTTAGTTAAACACCTCTGGCATTCAACACAAAATATCTTCCCTGTTTTACTTTGAATTATCCATCATTGCTCACCTGTGTTATCAACTTTCCTGAACTTCGCCGCAGGGCTGTTCTTGGAAGTGTGAGCGATTACTGCACCCACCACGCGCACTGTACTGTGATGATTGTGAAGAAACCAAAGCACAAGCACTGAGCAACGCCCAGCTCAGTGATTAGTATTTGAGCTTTCGTGTGTACAGCCAATGTGTGCATGTTTGTGAATAAATGGATCGCGGATGTCACAATTCACAACTTCAGAGTAGCGAACTCCTGCAAGTGGCCCACAATATCCTACATGTGGATTCTTGATTGAGATGGTGAATAACTGATGACGTGCCTCATCAGAACAGTGTTATTTGTGATGCAGATGCATCAATTGCACGAATGTTGTATGTATATGTAATCAAGACTGCAAGTTCCTTGCAGTGGACACGTGTGTTTGCTTCTTATCGAAGTGTGATTTGTAAATGTATGCTTCTTCTGTTCAGATTTTTTAATCCCCTTGCAAAAGGAGACTAAAAAAAAGGAACAAAATTTGATAGCCACAGGACACGGAGGTAACCTGCGCGCTTCCCGCGCTCCGGGTCCTCCTCCCAGCCGCTAGCCCCATTTTCCCAGAGGTACAAACCGTCCGCTTCATCAGCTGCTTCCCTTCTTTTCTTGTTCATCATCATCAAAGCCAGCCAAGTTGAGGCCACTAGGTAACGGAACTGGCTCAAGGAAACATGGCGGCGGAGGGAGAGGCCCTCATGGCAGCGGAGAGGGCAGAGACGTCTACTGCACCGGCGGTGGGGGCGGAATCAGGAGCAAACGGGAAGCCGGCGGCGAGCGGGAAGCCGGCGATGGTGCTGGGGATCGACGAGAGCGAGCACAGCTACTACGCGCTGGAGTGGACGATCCACCATTTCTTCGCCCCCGGCCAGCCGCAGCAGTACCACCTCATCGTGGTCAGCGCCAAGCCCCCTGCCGCCTCCGTCATCGGCATCGCCGGCATAGGCACGGCGGAGCTGCTCCCGAGGGTGGAGCTCGACCTCAAGCGCGCCTCCGCCAGAGTCATCGACAAGGCCAAGGAGCAGTGCTCACATGTATGCGCCGTGCTTTGTCAGAACGGGGACGCAATCCTTATTGATCGCCAGATAGCATAAGCTACAAGTAATGATAGATCGTCGCTATATGTATATGCAGGTGACCGACGTCAGCTATGAAGTGAAAGAGGGCGACGCGAGGAATGTGCTGTGCGAGGCAGTTGAGAGGCATCATGCAGACATGCTGGTTATGGGCAGCCATGGCTACGGCGCTTTCAAGAGGTTGGTTTGCCTTTCTAACTTTGGTACTCACGCTTCTGTCGTTTCAAAATAGCTGAAGTTCTGGGTTTGTTCTTAGTCAAACTTGGTTGAATGTGACCAAATCTGTAAACAAAATATCAACAATCTAAAACACAAGATTTGCTTCCTTTGATTCATAACCATTTCCCTATCACCCGCAAAGAAAAGGATACATGCCATTTTTCCTACAGTTTGACTTAGGATAATCACAGAACTTCAAATACTCCCTCCGTCCCTAAATACTTGTCGGAGAGATGGATAAAATTGAATGTATCTATAACTAAAATACGTCTAGATACATCCATTTCTCCGACAAGTATTTTCGGACGGAGGGAGTATTTTGGAAGGAAAACAAACTTTTTCAAGAAAATAGAAGCTTTATTACCCCGGCTTTTGCATCAACAATTCATATACCTAACTTGTTACAATGCAATATGTCAACGTGCTAAAGAAACATCATAGTAACAAAACAATCTAATAAATGTACATGACTAGCGGGGTTGTGGCAATCAATATCCTGTTAAATTTTATCAAACAATGTTTGAAATGGAGACATGGAGAGTTTGGCTTGGATGCAACCCAAGGTCATGGACAACCATTGACCATGCTTGTAATAAGGATGAAAAATGTTCAACATACATGCAACTGTGGCGATTAACCGAAACAACGATCAAGTAACAACCATTGATAATGTATCACCATTATTGTTTTATTTATAATGGATAGAATTTTACCTAATTAAACTGATTTCTTGCAGGGCCGTCCTTGGGAGCGTGAGCGATTACTGCACTCACAACGCGCACTGCACCGTGATGATAGTGAAGAAACCAAAGCACCATAAGAAGCATGAACAATTGGGGTTCCACAGAAAGGAGGCTTGAAAAAGTTTTTAAGGCCCTTAGGTTAGAGATAGATATGAAAGAGGTTTAGGCCTGCGTGTTCAAGTATTAACCGATTGCCTTGCAGATCAATATGTGGTCTCATAGCGAACTGAGCTAAACTCAGATGGTTAGGTTCCTTGTGTTGGAACCAACCCAATAGTTCAACTCCTAGACTTGGCACTAGTGGTCGCATTTTTCTGGATTTATTTCAGGCCTCGTGACAATGTGCGTTTAGTGAGAGTCATTACGAAGGCGTATGCGGTGACTTCCTCAATCTCAAGATGTTGTGCCGACTCGGTATCTCATAGGTTTTCATAGGAATAGAGTGTATGTGGGTGTGCTATCCTACATTACAAAAACATTAGACATGTATATCACATAATACTTGGATTATCTTTAGTTGCCACGGTATGAGACTCTGTTGCTTATGGTGAGCCTTTGGTCTCTCTGGCCTTATTACCTCGTGTCCTGGAGTTATTTTTCATCGTTTGTATTGCATGGATGTCGTTCTAAACAAAGGAGGTGCTACCAAAGTTTAGAATATTTTCTACACCTAGTGGTGGCTAGAGTAGAGTGGTAGCACTGTGTGCGAGTCTAGCTTAATAGGAATGATAGACTACTCATATTAACAAGAAAATTGATGTGGAGCATCCTTCCATCATCCCCATGGACTCTACACCGACACATCCAACCCCACGAGGACCCATGACAAGAGCTAGAGCACGTGCTTTGGAAACCGAGGTGAACTCCTTCCTACTTGACTTGCATATGGACATGAATGGAACATGGTCACTACCTCACCAAAATACGCTATGCCTCCTTAGGTATGAAGAGGAACACCACCAAGAAGCTCAGGAGCATCACCAAGGAGAAGGAGGACTACCCCAAAGCCTTGCGAACCAAGACGGAGTGCAACAGCAGCAAAACAAGAAGTCCCAGGTGACCCCGTGCGCACGGGCCCCTGAGACCCCGTGCCCACGGACTACACAGGAAGCTGGCGCTGGAGCACCCCGTGTGCACGGGCCCGTACCGTGCCCACGGAACCCCCGTGCACACGGGCCCAACTTACCCCGTGCGCACGGGCCTCCCAGGATGGCCGGCTGAGATTGCATCTTCGGCCCCTCTTCATCTCCTTCGACCCCAAGGCTATATATTCCGTACCTAGGACCATGTTTAGGGTTAGCAAAGTATTAGATGTGATATTTGTGAGGTTTGCTCCTTCACCTTCCCTCTTGGTGGATCAAGACCCCCTAGGGAAGAATCCTTGTGGATTTCATGACCTCCATAAGGAGAATACTATCTTCAAGCCCCCAGCTCCTTTGGATTTGGGATGAACTTTGCCATTGTATCTTTCCTTTGATTGTGTTTGTGACTTGTGGATCTTGTGTTGTTATTCTAGTGGATGTGTAATTGGGAATTGTTGGAGTGATTTCCTCTTTGTGTTCTTATTGTTGCTCTCCTTTTCCCCCTCCAAGTATGAAAAGATCCATCCTAGGGTTCTACCCTACATCAGAATTCCTTCTTTTTCAGGAGCTCGTTCACAAAGAAATCCAAAGTTAAGCATGCTTGATTTGGGGCTATTGAGGATGGATGACCAACCGGGAAGTTGCTCGTGGGTGCGCACGAGTGAGGACAAAGTGCGCAGACAAGACTAATATTGGTTTGTGGGGGATATTCTAGATCTCGCCAGGCGTAACGGCCGTGAACCGGTGGCTATGGCCAGGGCGTTACAATTGGTATCAGAGCTGACCCTTGTAGTTAGATGGATATGTGCGGGTCAGGTGCGTGGGCATGTGGCGCATGGCGCGTGTGTCCCATTGTGGCACATGGCATGACACATGTGCCGGACTCTGCGCACACACATGTGCCAAGAGGGAACGTTCCCGATGAGTCAACGAGGACGTTAGTTCATTTGAGTGGGGGTGTATGTGAGAGCCTGGCTTAATTAATAGGAATGATAGACTACTCATATCAACAAGGAATTCCTTCTTCTCCGGGAGCTCATGCGCAAAGAACTCCAAAGTTAAGCGTGCTTGTCTTGGAGCGATTTGAGGATGGGTGATTGACCGGAAAGTTGCTCACGGGTGGGCACCAGTAAGGACAGAGTGCGCAGAAAAGACTAGTGTTACTCTATGTGGATAGTCTAGATCCCACCAGGCATAATAGCCGAGAACCGGTGGCTATGACCGGGGCGTTACACACCATCAGATAGGGAAGAAATTTGGGGTGTTACAGCCTTTCTATCTAGTAAACCTATGATCTACCCCATCGCCTCCTCGTCAACTCCCGTCATTGCCGCCTTCAACACTTTGCCAGCAAAGAAATTAACAAGAGTGAACTACCTCGTGTGGAAGGCCCAAGTCCTCCCTCCGGGCCCTAAAAAGAGAAGTCCTCCCTTCGGTCAAAGGAGTTGCGGTGACAAGACTCCTTGATGGCAAATATGCCATCCCAGCTGAAACTCTGGAGGTGACGAAGGATGACAAAACGAGTAAGGTCCTGAACCCCACTCTCAGAGGAGGTGTGCATGCAAGTCATGGGAAAAGAAATCACTACCGAGACATGGTGTGACGTCCGGATAATTAAGCTACAGTAAACTATTGCTAATGATGCCATGTCACCTCGGTTACTGTTGATAAACTCGGGTTAGTTCAAAATGATTCAAATTCAAATTTAAAATATAGGCAAACAACAAAAGTTTTCAAACAATAAAACTAAAATGTTCTGGTCGTGCCAAATAACGCGTAGGTAATTATGGTGGATAAACCACACTTTTATAAAATAATTAAATACTATAAGTTGAGTAAAACTGTAGATAAAACAATTAATTAAATGCCTTTTGTATTATATAAAATACTAAACTGTTTTGTTCTGAGTAAAACCTTTTGATGACAATGGGTTTGGTGGCAATGCTAAATTAGGAGTTGAAATTATATTTTTAGAAAATTAAA